CAAGGTAATAACTAAACTGTACACTTTGTATTTCTCGACTACATTTATTTTTGTAAATATTAAATGTCAATTATGCCATTTAAAAAGATATGACTATTTTGTTTCTGAGAAAATTGTTCTTCTGTTTTCATACAATTACAAAAGAACAGAAGAAATCCCTACATTAAAACAATGACAATTTTACTTAATTATCATTCGTACTGGCACTTCTTGTTGATAGTTATGTGTTGATGCTTAGTTTTGTTTGCCATTGAAATTTTCTTTGCAAAACTTAGAATTTACTTTTGTCTGTATATAAATATGAAACTTTTTTTTTTTGTTTACTTGAAGACAAAAATTACATAGAACACACAGAAAAACCAGCCATAGACTTCCACTAATATATCATGAACAAGAAAAGAAACAAATGATTTTACTATTAATTTTGTACTTATGTTTCCCTTTTTTTACCTACAGTACAAAGAAATTACACTCAATGTATGCATGTCATGTAAATACATATACCTCTGATTGTTCAGGTGTTTAATGGTCAATTATAATCTTCATTCAAGATTTTATTTTAAAATTATTAATTTCTGTAAGAATAAGTGATAGGCATTTCCACAACTAGACAAATTCTACAAACACTACAACAAACACGCTATTAAAGGTAACTACAAGACCACAGTACTTTGAAATACAACCAGTAAGATTATTTGAATCACAACTTCAAATTCCACACAAAAATAATAAATAGAAGGCCATCACTTAATCACCAATTTTCAAGGCCATTCCACTACGTCTGAATAACTATGATTTCATAGATACTCTTGTTGAAATGAATTTGTACTGGTTATAATTTGATAAGTACAATATGTACACTTTCCATTAAAATACACTGAATTTCATCACAAGACAGTTCTTCCATACATTTATTACTCTTACAGAAATTAACACAAGAATTAACAAACATTAAAAAAAATTAAGACATTAACTCATCTTTCAATCTGTGGATAGAAATTACCCACACAATTTCTGAATACCTTCCCCAAATTCTGAACATATAATTTACAGATGTACTTGTTACAAGAACGTGAATCTCAAATATATAATTATTTTGCTTTTAATTTTTTTTAAATAAGCATTTTATCTAAATAACTGAATGTACTCCAATCACAATAAAAAGATTTTTACACTGCATCCAAAACAATAATTCTTACATTTCAGTCTCTTCAAAATTTATTTTCAGAGCAATTACTATCAAAAATGTTTTCAAATGTTTGAATAAATAAATAAAATAAAAAAATAAAAATAAAACATTAAAAAAATTGTTTTTGGAATTAACATTCAACAGATTTGAAAATGGACTTCAAAGTTATAATGGCAGACTCATATAATTGAATTAGTTTATCCGAAAAGGGAATATTATTGAGACTAACATCAGTTCACAAAATGTTTAGAAACCTAATGTCTGAAAACCTACTGTATTTCTATGAATACATCATCAATTGATACACATTTTCATGAAACAAGAAGCATTGAAGAATTTACAAAATCACAGGAGTACACAAAATAACAACACAATCACACATTACAGTCAGCATTTTACAAAACTACACAATACAAAATAAACACTAACCACAGTACAGGTTACCCAGTACACAAACCCTGTGAGTGACAATCACATTGTAGCATACGATTCTGAGAAACATTCAAATAACTGAATATTTTAAAGAAAAGCACCAAATAAACTGACATAGAAGTCAAAGCACATATGTATCACTATGATTTTACTAGTAAATCAGAAAAAAGGCTGTTCCAATACAAATTACTCTAATGTAGTTCGCACAATTATGAAAGAATAATATTTAAGGAAGAACATAGAATTTGACCAAGTTGTAATGCAAGATTAAATTTTGTATTTTTTTTAACTTGACCAATTCAACCTTTTCAAAGACTTTAAATCTTCCAAACATATTGTATAATAATTTATATGCTTCCTTGTGATTACCCCAAAGCAATATTTGTTTGCTTTCTTAAAAAACACCAAACACTACATTCAGTTCAATATTTCAAAGAAAAAAAGAAAAAAAAAAAGGGGGAAAAAAAGAAAAAAAAAAAATTAAATCTCTCATGAAGATGCAATCAGAGTCTATCACATACATACAAAAAATTATTTTCTCCTTTACGAGCAATAAAAGGAGATTTGCTAAGTATCCACCCAACAAATATGTCATCGAACATTCATGTACAAAACAAAACTGGAAATTATGCATACACACACGGTATCAGAAATATGACTGGTTACAAATGGACCAGTGTATAAAGATTAATACTAACACGTTCCACTTTCCTTTCTTCACGAGACAGACGGCTCTGATATATATATATTTATATTTATTTATAAGAAAAATGCAAAAATCCGGCTTTGCCTGTGTGGCAACTGTACATAAAAAACACATAGTAACAAGAATAAAAACAATGATTATTTACCATTCTGTATGTAAGCTTGTTATAATCTATTGGTATAATCTGTAAATTGGTTTGAGGTAGAAGCAGTGAAAACTGCTTTGCTGTAGTATGCAACTGTTAACAAAATATTACATCATGAAGCAAGACAATACTGCTGTCATAAATTCAACAGTTTATGATCACATGTAACAACTATATTCAAGTATGGTATTCTGAAAATAAACAGTGATTGTACAATAATAAAACTTCATTGGGGAGAAGACTAGAAATAGCAATAATTATAAAATTATGTTGACAAGAATTATAGTATAGCCAAGGAAACAAGCAACTGAGCTGTCATACAGGAAGAAAAGAACAGTAGTTCAAGTAAACTGAAAAATTTATGACACCATTACTATCTTGAATGTATTCTCATAAAAACTGTGTATTGCTGAAAACTATATAGTACTGCATTCTGTTGGTAACAAATAGTATTATAAAATATACCCGGTTAATATTATTTAAACATCAGTCAATTGTTTCTGTTGTGATAAAAATACCTTGTTAGTTTCCTATAATAATTAAAAACTGATTAAGTGTGCTACTGGCTTTAGAAAGAACTTCAGATGCTGTATTAAATTCTTATCATACTTGTACACAACACTCGCTTTACTAGACTACAAGCATGTATAAACATAACATGCAAACTTCCCATGAAGTCAGTCCACGATTGTATCAATAATTAAAAGAATTCAAGAATTTCTTTAAAATGAATTTATTTCGACAATTTATTTTTAAGAAACTCTTGAACAAATAAAATACGTTTTAGCAGGGTTACGAGAGAGTAAAGCCGTGGAGTATTAACAATCTCTCAGAAAATGTATATTTTTCGAGAACGCCATTAAGATTCTGAGGAATTATCTTGTTCCACTAACAAAACTCCTTTCTCAAAAGTTAAACCTGCTAATACGTGGTTAACAATTGCGCTATGTTGTACCTGTACAGATCTACCCGTTACGAGATGCTATGTGTAAAAATAATGCCTCTGTTGTATATATATTATGTCTGATCTATGCACTAATGCTCTCTTTATACACAGAAAACCATAAATATGTTGTGGTAAAAATTAAAATAAAATAGTTTACACATAAATATTGTCAACATTACAAGAAGTAGATGTCTATTTTACAGTAACATTTACAAATAGATCACCTACACATACCTGGACTGAGCTCCTGGTACTATGAAATTAAATATTTCATGGCAACCACAATTTCATATATTCAGGCTGTGCAGAATCAGTACAAATATTGTTATCACATATGTTTCTCTAGTGTCTTTCTAAAGCCCGTAGAACATCATCTTCGCATATGTACACAATAAAAAACCAACATACTTCATTGAAACTAATGAACAATGCTTAAGTGCTAAACATAAACAAACATATTATTTAAAAAAAAAAACAAAAAAAAAAATAATAATAATAAAACAATCATAGTACATAACTACACAAAATTGTTTACTTCAAAATAATTTCTTTTAGTATATTTTGACAGTACAACTTAATAAAGGCTAGTTGTACTTCAAATCCCTTTCCACTATCTAAAAAAGAGAACACATTTTGTTTTCTTTAAATTGTCATTATACACCCACGAGATAAAAATGAAATTATTCATACATATCCACTTCTTATATATAACATTTACCATTTGGCAGAAAAAATAGTAAAAGACACTTAGAAAATTGTTAATTACTTTTCTGTCTTCGAATTGTATAGAATAATTCACAGTTCCTTTGCCTTAATTTTAATGTTCTAAATTCACAGAAGGCCATCCATACAAGATATCAATTTTAAGTTCTTTTACTCCTTCAAGAAACATGCTTAATACACAGATCAGTCAAGAAATGATTTATCACTTTCAATCTCTCTTACCTACTTCCTTTTTAATCCACCATCACATACATCTCGATTTTCAAAGTGTAATTGTAGATACAAAACCACAGAGAATTCAAAATTTCTAATGGGGGCTACTATTTTTAATAAACCCTTCAACCCAAACAAATTTACTGAAAAAAAAATTAAGATCCAAGAGTAGGTGCATTTTAAAATCTTGAAAAACTACATCAAACTTTGCTCAATTAATGAACAAAAACACCCTTACAATTTAAACTTTCACAAATCAAGTATACATGACCTTCTCACCACAAATACTGTTAAGATTTTTAATTTCAAAATGGTAAATATATATTCTGAGAGATGTATATATATAAAGCTAATGCAATATTAATTACTATCATTCACTTATATCAAAATATCATTTGCCAAAAAATTGACACTTTAATGGTATTCTCTTGACACTAAAATGGGAGCATTAGATTGTATCTTGTTTTTAAAAATGGGGCAGGGAGACCACAATTCCAATGTATCTATAAATATTTCCTAACATTATCTAAGTGATACTACTAATATTTGGGGAATGTTATTTCATGTTAGGAAAAAATATTCATAGACCTAACAGTTTGGCAAATATAAAATCATCTGCCAAAAGAAAGCCAAATATTATTTTAAAATGTCAAATAGGTAGAATAATATTGCATGGGTCTGGCAATCCTCTAAGAAGTCTCACTGAGGATTATCAGTCAAAGGTTTTTGGACGTTCAGGGAAGAGGATAGGGCTGCTAGAAGGAACATGTTAGAGCACATGTTCATACAATATAGGAGGGAAACTTCTCTTAGAAATACTTTACCCTTAAAAATATATGAGATGTATCTAACTGTCACAAAGACAATTTTGAAATACTTTTTGTTGCCTCATGTTTTGTATATGTACTTAAGATAAAATTACAACATGGTCCACATGTCATCAAGACCAAATATTATTCTTGGGAAATATTTTTTTTATAAATCCTGAGCAGTCAACCGTATTGTTTGGTTGTATATATATAACTTTAAACTATGATGATTGAAAAGACTTTGTTAACTCTTCTATCGTTGGCAAAGCTTTCAAAAACACAGCAATACAACAAAACATTTACAATCAAACTGATTCAAAAGCGCAAATTGCTCACATCTGCATTAGCAAGGACGATGGATCAACAAAATATGATACATATTTCAACATCTAGTCCTGACATAGAACATTACACATCTATTTTGGTAAGTGAATTCTGTTACAGGAAAAACAAATAAACAAAATACCATGTTTGGATCAATATTTAAAAATACACTTCTATGCATTTTAATTAAATTTTGACAATAAAGATATACACATAAAAAATAAAGAAATATATAGAATAAAATGTCTGCATAGTAATTATAATATATCGAGGTAGAAAGTGAATTGCACTTTGAACTGTTAAATTAGCCCTTCCCATGCCCATTAAATGAGGATGAAAGTAAGTATTCTTGAAATAATTATATATCGATTTCTCCCATTACTGCAACAACGTCCCAGCCAGGATTTTAAAAGTAAACCTTACATGATATTATACAGAGAAAACCCTGGTTAAGAACATTTTAAAATAAATACTTATTTATCCCCTTAAATATACACACGCACACATTCATACTGGCCATAATATTGACACCTAGAGAAAGTAACTACACAATTCCTCATATACACAATAGAAAAATGTGAAGTATGCTAGTGCTTAATATCTAAAAGAGACACCCGTTCAATTTTTGTACAAAATTACTTTTGTTATCTTAATTTAAAAAGTGAGGTTTGTACTAGATGTAATTCACAAACAATTATAAAAATATTATTTACTACACTTACTTGAACATCAATTTTGTACCTGATTGGTTTTATTTTTCCTGTTCTACATATGAAGCTACTTTTTAAAACACACAAAACACCCAAAACACAGAAATTAAGAACAGACCTTTTCTCTGTGAAAGATTAAGTAAGTAGTAAAATAATATTTTTTTCTCTTTCCATGGCTCTAAAAACCAATCATCCTTGCCATCAGTTTCACAAAATGTACATAAAACCTTCTACCCATGAAGTATTTTCAACTTCTTAGGAATGTCTTAAAAATCTATCAATATTGGTAAAAAAATAGAACACTTGTTCCTACCTGAAGAAATCAAACAAACAGTATTACCGCAACAGAGGTAATCTGTTTCTTGCATTGAGTAGTTTTGGGAATGGGACCAAATCTTTCATTCCTCTAAACTACCTATATAAACAAAATTCTGGTAATGAAAGCCTTGCCAATTCTCACCGAAACCTCATAATATTCAATTTCACAATGTTTCATCACATCCCATGTGGAAATGTACCTTTGCAGCTCATTGCAAGAAAATCTTTGGTATAGAACATTAACATTTGAATTAGTATACAGCAAATAATGGTAACATTCTCATGAATGAATGGATGAATGAATGAATGGATGAATGGATGAATGAATGAATGAGTTACTTATATCTTCACAACACTCCAGAGAACTGAAAAATGCAGAGGAAAAAACTTATGTTAATCACAGGCTGGAAGTAGAGCTGTGAAGTCTTCAAACATACATAATGCCTCATTTACGACAATGCTACTTAGTTTTAAATTGAGAGCATTAACTGCAAAAAGGTATATTGCTCTGAGGTGATGAACTGTGAAAAAGAATAAAATGAGATCAGCATTTCAGTAAAATCTATTTTTTTTTTTTTCCAAATACAAACAGCTCTCTCTTTCTGCACGTTTCAACCAGCCACAGCCCATTCTCTGTCATGTTTTGCAACTACATTCCTACCTCTGTATATAATGACCAGGGAATCCATACCCTATCTACATTTCTTTGGACTATTTAAGGGGAGAATCTTTGCAAGCACAGGTGTATCATCATCACTTTCCGATTCTCCTTTCATACTAGATTCTTCCTCAATTTTCAAACCCGAATCCGGCACTATTCCTATTATATCTTCTAAACCAGAACCAACATTCTTTGTGATGTTTTCTTTCTTATCCTCTTCATTTTCTTCATCATCATCTCCTTCATCTTCCTCTTTAGTGCTGACGCTACTGGGTGAGCTACCCGTCTTGTGAAGAATTTCCACAATTGCCTCTACCCGTCTTTTCTTCCTTCCAGTAGCACTGCTAACAGACTGTGTTTTATCACGAGGAGACAATGGAGGTAATGAAACTACACCTAATTCTGGCTGTTGATCAGGATATACAACATACCCTTCTGTTCTTTCCTGTTCCCTGTCCTTGACAGGAGGGGAAATTATTACAGGCTCTCGTCTACATGCTGATTCTGGCAAATTGCTACTGCCTGATTCATCTGAAGGCACAAATTCTGTTTCCTCTTTCCTCACAATTTTTGCAGGAGAGAGTTTTTTAGGAGGTCTTCCCCGTTTTCGTGGCGAGTCAGAGGTAGATGTTGACGGGTTAGACGATAAACCACCCTCCCCTTCGCGGTGCTTGGAGGACGAGCGTTTCCGACCCACTCTCCTACGATTCCGTTTCTGCTCCCCCTCACCTTCCCCAGGTTCCCCGGCGTAGACTTCAAACGGCGCAGATGCTTTTGTCACCCCTCTCCTTGTGGGGCCTTTCCTTCCTGGAGTTTTTCGAGGAAACTTCCTCGCCACTGGAGATGGAGACTCTTTCTTTTTTCCCTTCTCCTCCTCTTCTTCATGAGGAAACGATTGACTTGTAGAATCATCATCTCCAACAAAAGGCCCCGCGCCCTCCGGTATGTGGAGACCAGCTTCCTCTGCTGTCATTGCATAGAAACAATGCTTGTATTGTGGATGTTCAGGAGATATGCTGTGCTTTTCTTGAAGATGTCGACGTAATGATTTCCTAACAGAGTACGCTTTGTCGCACAGCAAGCACTTGATATGCTTCACGCCCGTGTGGGTCATAAGATGAGCTTTGAGGCGAGCTTGTTGGGAGAACACCTTGGGGCAGCTGCAGAAACCATTTCAAACATCGACAATTATTCCAGTGATATAAGATAGACTAACTGTCTGCTGAGACTTAATTGAAGGGCTCAGTAAAACAAGGGGCTATCCCACATAGACATAGTTCTGAGATAATTAGGGTTTTACCTGACCTTCCTTCATACAACGATACATTTTTAAACTTTTAAACACAGTACATTTGCGTATAAGTTCATACCAGATGTAAATAACATACTACACTAAAAGAACAATTTTTGAAGTTTTGAATAATGCGAATAACACAATTTCACAAAAAATGTGGGATAGCCCCTTGTTCTACTGAGCCCTTCAAATCGAAATTAACCGTAATTTACTTGCCGTAATAAAAATTGCAAAAATAAGTAGTTCCATTGTCCTATTAGAATATCTAATAAGTTAATGAGATACTTTGGCATGTTTGGCTTAACACACAAAATCGCAGGGAAAAATATGAACTATATTTACAGATAAATGTACCAATTCAACACCACATGTAGCAACACTGAAATGAGCAAACATCTCATTACTAATAACATCAGAACACTTGGTTCGTTTTTTAAACAGTAAATGATATTCAACTCATTTTTAATACAGAATTTATGTTGTGATGCCCCATTTCCCAAATATAATAGCTGAAGCAATTTCTTAAATTGACTTTTGTATTTCCAGTATGACGTACATAATACGCAAGAAATAAAAGTTTAAAAAGAAAGGAAAAGAGGGTTAAAACGTGATGTCAGCCTGCTTCCTGAATCCAACTCCATGTTAACCATCCAAATAGAAGGAACAGGTGCATCATAACGTGAAGTTTGACAAAGTAAGGAATGTCATAATCTCTCCCCCATGTCAGCTGTGACCTTCGGAGCATAGGTAGAGTGATAAGGGTGGAATCTCACAGGGCACGCCGCTCAGTATGTGCTCGTGTTCATATATAGTGGTCACCCCTTTTCTGAAACAAATTTCTCTGACTTTTCCCAGTTTTCCAGAGCGCATTTTAGATTTTCACTATAAATCTTGTAGAGTATTTCTCAGTATTTAAAGAAAATATTAATGCAATCTTGAAACTAATTTGTCAGCTCTCTGATTTCATCGTAAACTATGAATTAAAATGACTCCACATATAGAAATTAAGCAAAAAATTATTCTATACTATTTTTACTTTCTTGCCTGTTTAAGCAGAAGATAGAAAAATTTAATGCTGTGGGGAAAAAAAACAATGAATTTTAAGTACAAAAATAAATTACCGAGTCCTGGTAAGGAAAAAACGGGCATATCGTTGCTAAATATAGAAGAAAAAAATCCTCTACCTGGTGTACCCAGAATCTATGTTTTGTGGGTCCTTGATACTGAAAAAGCGATTGACGGCATAACGTCTGTCCGTGCACAGCGCTAGCGTATAAACCGTTCGGCCTATTTTCTCCAAATTTATATTCCCCATCGATCAGGCTGATGTCGCGGCCCCTTGAATTTTAAAGAGGTAATTTAATTTTGGGAGGTACTTCCAAAATTTTTCAAATCATTTAATCAAATGTTTTGATTAAATTTTGTTTTTGGATAGCATAATAGATACTAAACAGAATAGCGCGAGTCTATTTTCGTTGACATCCCTAATTTTTCGGAAATTGCAAAAGTTCAAATTTTTTCGGCATCTTGCTAGAACATAAATGTTTGAATATTGAGTTTTTTTCTTCAATAAATTGTTTTGTAAAGGCAGATTTTTTAATATGGTCATGTAAAATTTTGCGAAATTTAGAATAGTCTTCGCGCAATTTTGCTTCAAATTTCATTACTGTATGTAATTTTGAGTCTCCCAGTACGTCTTCGTTTCATTGAAATATAGTTTTTAGATGAGATAAACTATTCAATATTTGAATGATTACATTTTGTGAATTGACAGTTTTTATTTCAAACCTGAATAAGCCGGAAACCTGCATAAGACTGAAGAAAATACTGGTCCCAAACGATTCCGGCTTGGACTGGTTTTACTGTATACGAGGTGTGTGCCATTTCGTGCACCACCAGTTGCGTCTACACACGCATCGCGTCTCCTTGCTCCTAAGAGTGTTGAGCGCATCTTGGAGCAATCCTCCGTCAATTGCTATTATAGGAGTAATCTTCCTCCTTACACACACAGCACCCTCTCTAGGGGCGGCTGGGTAGTCAGGGAATCGCCGATAGGCAGCTTCGCGCTCGCGTCATCTACATATCGGCCACAATTGGAAAGGAGAAAGGATAGGGGTAAGGTTTAGGATGCTTCACAAGGGTTGGACTAGCACCTGTGAAGCATGCTAACTCGCTTTGTGAAGTGGTGAAAAGCAAGCGACTTCGCCACGAGAGTAGTTATATTGTAACAATCATGTGCGATTGAAACACTACAATAATTGTTACAATCATAGACAATATGAATTTGTTTTTAATTGCCAGTTTTGAAACGTTTACTTAATTAAGAGTACGAATATCACAAAGCACGGAGGGTATAAACTCCCTCTTACCGAAACTCATGCTCGGTTTTTAACACGAAATTTACCCACATAGATTTTTTTCCGTTTCTTGAGCTACACCCATTAATGGCAGAAAATGTTAATAGATGCGTATCTATGGTATGACAGACAGGGCACATGCCATGAGCGCTGTTCGAGTATACCCGTTAAAACAAATAACAGTCCTAATTTGAAGTGTCCTGAACGGGGCGCAAATTCTATGATTGCCGTGGGCGCCCGGATACGTCCTGTTATGGTGACACGCGGACAACTAAAACATTGATTGGCGAATGCAATTCAATACTTTACGTATTGAATATTCTTCGATATATTTCTATATTTTATGGATTTTACACACTCCTGGCGCGAAATGACAATATTAGAGTGATCCTACAGAGAAAAAACTCGAGACTCATGCGCTCGAATTGCATTATATCGCATCATGGCGGCTTTCGAGATGCATTAATTTTTCACTGAGTTTATGGTTGAATTTGAAACTTTGTTCATGAAAAATAATTTGTAATAATAAATTTCATGAAAGAGAAAGAATTTTTAAACGTAAAATAGAGTTATTTTTTCGCTCACTAGTGTGGATTACCTTTATGAGAACGCTCCGAGAAGTCACGGAATTTAAGCGAATTCGAGACTTGCGGATCCCTGGTTGTGCGACGTCTAGGAACCCCGGGATCTAACGGCGCCGAGCCCCTCTCCGAAGGGATAAAATAAACTGACTGACTGTGACATGACGGGACTTAAGATAGTAATTACCTCCCATTAATAACGGAGGATTACTTCGGGGAAAGCACTCAACAAGGGTTACGGAGATGCGTTGCGTTAACGATGCAACAATTTTCTTTTTTTAAATACGGCAATCATGTGCATCACATTACGTACTTCTCCCTAACAATTCCGCATATTTTTCACAAGAAATTTAATTGCTCGTATTACCCTGATATTTTTCACATTAACCCGGAGCCCGGAGATTATCCGTTCTTCTGAAATCCGGAGGGGTGGCTGCCCTAGCCGTGCCAAGAGCGCGGGATATCATTCTACCTCCGGGTTGAAGATCGCGGCGGGGCGCGATGGGGCAGGCGACTGACACTTAAACCGCCAACTCGCCATTTCTATCCCGCTCCATTTCTCATTTGCTCCTATCTATTAGACATTTTATTGGCGTCGGTAAACTGGGTGTCGCTGACTTTTTCTAATTTAACATATGTAATGTCTAGAAAAACTTTCAAGACACAATGCTTTTTAATGTCATAGAAAAATCATGTTCTACCCAGAACCGCCAACGAGCCATACACGGTTCCCATATCTGTAAAAAAATGTACAGATGCGGTAACCTATGTTTCTTGTGATTGTTGTAATGATGAATTATGTAGAGTAATTATTCAAAACAATAAGATTACATATGAAATACTTGTGGAACTTGAATTCTCGTGTCATCAACTGAGCACTACCAGCATGGCCTGAAATTTTGAAAGTATATTATATTGTTTAAATGAAATTGATAATTAAAATTAATTACACATTATTTCTTAATTTCTTATATGCAATATCTTATATTGTTTAATATTTACCTCCAGAAACTAACATTCATTTATTATTTCCCAATATTCTGAGCTATGTATTCACCAATACACGTATACACTAATGCAGTGCACAAGAAACTTCACAGGACATTATTGTCCTGCGTGGTGGTTCTAAGTAGTACGTGACATTCAGCGGTTCTAGTGATAAGTCTTCCACTATATTTTGCCAAATTCCACTTCATGACTCGCTTGTTCATTCAATTTGGACAGTCAACATGGAAGCATTGGGTTCAGGAGACATGTCCCCAAAAAGCTGTGAGCCCACATGTTTGAAATTTAATCTTGGCGGAAGTGCAAACAGTAATTTAAAATATTAGCTTCAGCTATTTTATTTGGGAAACGGTCATCACACCGTTAATTCAATAAAAAATGAGTTAAATGCCATTTACAGATAAAAAATCAAGCCATTTCTCCTGCAGTTACTGACAATGTGTTCCTCCTGATAGTGCTGATATTTATTGAATTGAAAGTATTTTTTGGGAGCATACAGCCTAATTTACGAATTTTGTAACAAGGATAAATAACTATTTGATTAATTGAGGGGCTTTTGGAATCAAAATTTAAATACATCGTACAATTCATGCAATTTAAGAAGTGATAACAACTGCACATTTCTACACTAAAATTACAATTGAAAACTTTCACACCCTGAAATTTTGGCATTGAAACTGCCAACAATTCTCTGCCTTTTGATGAGGTAAAAATAAGACAATGTTTACTAATTTCATGTTAAATAATTAAATCACAGAAATATTTCAATAATGGCAAGTAAATTAACATAATGAATAAGAATTAAAAGTTGAAAACAGAGAACAAGTTAATTTTTGAATAAATAATTGTTTTAATCAGATAATGATCTATCATAAATTTATAGCATGCACAGAATGAAACACACACATAATTTTAAGAGACCAATTTTCTGTTTTCTTCATTAGTTTATTCTGATCACAACTCGTATCCACACTTCGAAACTGTATCTGAGATTATAATGGAAAATGAAGTATTTCAATTTTTGTGAGGGAGAAATTTCTGCAGGAAATTGTTTTGTAAATAATGCCACAGGATTTCAAAGAAATGCCCTCTTGTGATAGAATTTAAATGCAAATACTAACATTTTTGTGAAAATGCAAAAATAGGTGGGCAAATTTTCTAATAGCCAATTCAAATTTCCAATAAATGCATTTCGGTTCACACTGATGGTATAATTAGAGTCCTAGTAATTTAAGGTCAAAGTCGAAACTACAAACACACCATTTTCTAAAATATCTTTCATATGAGATATATTGGATTTTGTTTCTTTTTTGTTTGGGGGCAGAGGTTTCTACTATAATTAATTTTCAGTATTCTAGTTTCACTAAGCAAGTTATAATTATTTTTCAAGAATTTGATTATTCATTTTTACATAGAAATTTAATTAAATTTCTCAAAAAGCCATCAACTTAGCTTGATTATTTAACTACATAATCAAATAAATTGGTAATTTTAATCATAATCATTATGGATTATAACACTATCTCTGCTGCCACCACAGAATTTACCAACTTATTTAGTTTTTCTTTAATGAATTAAAAGTCAAATGAAAATGTAAAAACTGAAGTTGTTCTAGAAACAAAAATATCTCTTATTCTTCAGAAACAAAAATTATTACTAATGATTTAGTGGCAGAAACTTAAAAAATTCATCACAAAAGATTCGAAACTTAAATAGCAAAAACTCTCAAGTACAGTTCACAAGATGGTTTACAGAAAGTTCCCCTCATGCATTTCTTCTCTAGATCAAGAAAGAGTATACTCACAGAGGACATGAAAAAGCTTTTGAAGGTTCGTGGACAATGGTCACATGTCGCTGAAGATATTTCTCACTGTTAAAGCCTTTTCCGCACATCTGGCAAAGAATTTGCGTCTGTCGATTGTGAATCACACGATGTTCCTTCAGCGCAAAACTGTTTGTAAAGGACTAAAAAGTAAAGCAAACTCAATGTAAACATTACCCTGTGCTTGCATCATACTCTAAATCCAATCTCATGTATACTTACTTTGCTACATATTTCACAACTTATTAGACCTTCTCCAGTGTGCTTACGAATGTGATATTTCAATTTCTAAAACAAAACAGTAAAAAAATTAGCACTTTGAATATCTGCTCATAAATTAAATGTTGTATCTGTAAAATACGGTTTCAGCCTTCAAAAGAGAACTGCAGTTCATCATATTTATTTTATTAATATACAGACTTTTGTCCAAGTACATAGAAAATTACAATAATATTTGTATGGAACCAGGCTGGCAGAACGCTACCAACACCAGTTTCAACCGTGGAATCAACGCAAATTTTGAATTTAATAAAATTGTTGTGATCATGGGTCAGTACACAAATTAATTATTCATTTCTGAGCATTACGACTCAGCATTTTCAATGAACTTCATTTATGTCGCCTATTCTATCTAAGTTGCATAAATTTATATTTTATCAGAGGGTGACCACTTATGTTCTGGAACAAACTTCCCTGAGGTTTCCCACTTTTATGGAGCATATTTTTTTAAATTCCTGATAAGATTTGTAATTTTATACGACTTATAAAAAACATTAAAATTACATCGATTTGAAATGGACAGCTCTTTGATTTCGTCATGACAGCACAAATTAACAATATTTCATCACCAAATACAATTGAGCAAAAAATTGTTCAACGCTTGCAATTCACCATTTGCTTTGATGAGACTTAACCTCCACTCAGTCTGTTTGTTAGTCCAAGTATGTTTCATGATGGTAAATGCATTAAAAACCGGGGACCAGTGCAATATTTGAAATAATTTAGAAGATTTCAAGCTAATTTCTGACTGCAAAAAGTCTGTTCTAATCGTGATTAAAACTAGCCCTAATAAACTGCAGGGTTCTTAGCTGTCATACAATAACTATTTATTTTATTTCATTAAGATATATTTACATGTTCTCGGTTAATATGTTACCTGTTCTTAAGTCGTTAATCTAAATAGTGAACATTTCAAGCCTGGCGTGAACATCTGGCAACTCCATAATAATTTTATACATATAGAAAATATAGTTTTAGGTTTACAATAATATAGTTTGTGCAAGATTCTCTTTTCAATGAGTCAGATATGGTTTGCTGCTAGTCAAATTTTATTTTAAACCATTAGTTTTTGTATATTTTTGCCCATCTGAAGTTATCACGAGCCGATTTTCAACCAGCTTATTCAGTTTTGTCAATTGTTTATTTTTCGTAAGAAACAATAGATATTTTGTTAAAATTATAATAAAGCAAGACATCCTGGACAAACCCCCAAAATAACCACAAAGAAATCTCTCCCACTGGGTGTTGAGTAATAAATGTCCGTAGCTGTTGGTTTTGAGCAATGCACAAAAAATTGGTTACTTGAAATTTTATTTATAACATGAGAAATTATGTTTGATAACATCGATGTTTCTGGAAATATATATTGACATGAAGAAAACATCATGTTAACATATCAATGTTTCTGGTCTAAAATATCAATGTTTTTTTACCATCACTAAATGGAAATGTTAGTAGAACAGAATTAAGAATTTTATAATATGATACAGTTACTAGTAATACAAGAAAGTGTGTGCTGGTGTATCACCTCTAGATTTTTTATTAAATTACACTAACATCAAGATGTTTAGCATCATCTGACTCAAATCTTACATTAAATCTTACACACCTGACAAAAGTAATAAATACCAATGAACAGTTACTAATCTTCATGAAATTTAATTATTTTAAAATTCTTGGACAATTGAATTACAATAAAATCCCCTTTTTAAGCTTTTGAGGTGGACAGATAAAAAAAAACAACGTTAAATGCAGGAAAGTTGCAAAACAATAGGCTAGGCAAGAACTTTCATTATTAATTGCAATGGTGGCTCTGTTTTGGTGAATTTTGTCCAAGAATCTCTTACTGACAGGTTCTAGTAATGAACAAGAGGATAAATTATATTCCTACATATGGTAAATGCTTTCCTCTAACATGTGGTGTCGCCAGAATCCCAGTTTTAAAGGTTCTTGAAAAAGCAACATCGACTGAGCAAAACGTTGTTGATATTCCTCGATTGATCTGAATAAACTCAAGGTTTTTACGAGTTGCCGTTTTTTGCTGCAGCATTATATAACTTCCTCTGCATTAGATATAAAAATACATACGTGTATGAGAATGTAAAAAAACAAAAAGAAAGAAGTGACGTCAAAGATGAGATGAACTCTTCATATCAGTTGTAAATTGTGGGCAGAAAAAGCATTGTAAATATAGGCGCATCATGTTTTAAAGAAATTGTGGGGAACAGTTCATAAAAAATTTCTTCAAGTTAGGTAACGTCTACATAAAAATTCCACTTCATTGCACATCCATAAAATTAATTATATAATTAGTGAAATTTCATGCTTTTAGTTACAAAATTTATTTATCAACTTTTCTTTATATCATCATTTTTGGCTGACTTCAATAGAGCCGTTCTCTTTAGCGATGACCCACTGACATTCAATGTCCTACATTGCTTCCTTTTTTTAATATTTATTTATTTATTAAATAATTTTGGTTGGGTAGCAAAATGTCAAATCGGCCCAACGTACCTATTTTGGTATAAAAATGCTCTGGAATTTTGCAATTTCTATAATCAAGATTGTTATGGATTATCTATGTAAAGAAAAAAAAGACACTTGGGTCTGTGTCATTGTTTTTTTAATATTCTAATCTGTCGCGTTACTGACCAAGTGACCGATAGCTGACACAGCATGGGAAACACGTGGTGACTGATTTCGGAGAAAAAAGAGAATCAATTAATAAATGCATTCGACAGAAGAATGTTAGAAAAAGCTGTCCATTTACCTGAAGTAAAAACTTTAAATGTTGTTTTCTTTTTTTATTACAGGTAATGTATTTCTCCATTGCTTAATAGAAATTATTGACAATTGTGGGAAATTATAAACCGTTTTTACTACAGGAAACCAATTGAGTTATTTCCGGTTTTAATTTTCAAATTAATTACTTGAAGGTTATAACCATTATATCTATATTTGTTTTAATGTCAACAACACTTGTAAAATAAAAATCACATACTGTAACAGCGCCACTAAGTAGAATGGACTTACTGAAGCAAAGATTAACCTAAATTAAAAAGAAAAGCAGAAACACAAAAGAAAACAAATATAGTAAATTTGTAAATTTTCAGGAGAAGTAACTTGTTAAAAATCTTTTTTAACCTGTAAAAGCTTATGAAACACGTGACCATTTAATTTTTGTAACTCGATAGTCACTTGCAGTGATAACACAAACCTGCTTTTTTGAGAAGGTCTGTCCGCAATATGGACAGCTGCATGTCTCTTCCCGTGTATGAACTCTGATGTGCGAGTTACAAGCTCCCTTATCAGAAAAACATTTGTCACAATACAAACATTTATACGGCTTTTCTCCTGAAATCAAAATAGTAGAATTCATAAATGGAAGTTGAAATTTACAAGTATGTGAAATGAACAATGATACTGTCCAAAATTATTCATGGATGCTATAATAGAAGAAAAGCTTATTTTAAGGTCTCACATTAACTTGCTCATATTTTTTCTACGCTTTTGGGTGATATTTTATTTATTGTACTTCTAAATGTTGTTCAATAAGATTCCATTATTACAAATTTGTGGGATCCTCTGTAATTCTTTTGTTATAATGAAATTTTATTGAATTGGAGAATGCCAATTTCTTATTAAGAACACCAATTACATTACGTCAAATGCAAAATCTACATTACTTTAATGTAAATTCACAAATGAAAAAGCTTAATATTTTATCCGTAATAAATAAGAATGGGTTATTTTTGCTGGCTTTTTCATCAAACACTAATTATACTTATAATGACAGTATCAAAAAAAGAACTCTGGAGTTTCACATCATAGCTGCAGTCACAATTTTTTTTACAATAGAGCAAATCATGATTTGAGTCGGCAAACTCATCAATATAATTTTCGAATTTAGACATGAAATCATTTTTATACCATGTCACACTTAACAGTCTGGACCTTATTATAAATCTAGCTGTACTTAAAAAAGAGAGAGAGAGAGACACAATAACTGTGTTGTGCATATCTAGGAATCAAAAATGAGATGTGGGTGAATTTATGGACAATTAATTATATTTCGCAATATCTTCCTGAACAAGACTATTTCTAACTATTTCTAAGTTGACTCACATTAGTCAAACTATTAAAATTAAATTTTTCATAATCACTGTCAACACTTCTTGGCGGATAAGCTTCTAACTGTCTGTATACTATGTACTTTAGAAACTGCAATTTACACTTATCTAACACTTATAATATATCTAACATATAATAACAATTCTAAGCCTGTTGGGTCTGGGAAGCAAATAACAGACATATTGAAATTTTGTATGGACTACATAAAAAAATAGAATATACAAAACCATAACTGAACTTGTTTTTGTATTGAGTCTTAAAACATTTTCCATTCTAGTCACACTACAGCAAACATCCAACTTCTAGTCACAGCTACAGCACCCTGTTATAAGAGAATCCCGTTTATTGGAGCGGTCCTGGGTCAGTTGTATATAAACATGCATTTATTTCCCGCATTTAAGGGGAACAAGAATGATGAAAAAATAATTTTTTCCTTTTTTGAATCATTAAAAAATGTAGTTTTCTGTGTTCAATAAGCCAAGCCTCTTCTTAATATGCCATCTCTTAAGTGTGTGTGTGCTGTGAGATGAAGTTAATAGTTTGCTTTCTAGTGTTGGATACACTGTTTCTGGAAACAATTGAGGCTTGAATAGCATCAAAATGTGTTTGCCTAGCACAAGCAGACTAAAATATATGTTTCCACCAGTATGCTTTAGAAACAAAATAATAACATTGAAGATGTGAAGAGAAGTTATGACTTTGTTATATTTGTTATTTGTTAATTTCAATGTAATAATCCTTATATACTGAAAGCTGGCTTAGAGAGAAATCAGAGAGATGTCTCATGAAACAACCCTCAGCTCTTAATTATATATAACAATAATAATAGTAATAATAATAATCATAATTTTTTGGTACACTCAATACCAACAAAAAAGAATATCTTCATAAAATTAATAAAAACACTTATAAAATATCAATTATTAGTAAATTGACTGATGTTTCTAAGCATGTCAACTGCCATCTCATTAGTCCCACTTTTGAGATCCAGTGCAGACCAGCACATCGGGTTTAAGGCGAATTGTAAGTGCAAGTACCTCCCCTAATGGGGCATCATTTAAGCCGCAACAAGCTGAAAGTTAGTTTTGGCATCCCTTTCACTTTTAGTGATTCTCCAACTCGAAAAAGAAGAATCACTTGGACCATATGAATGGAGGATCTCTTGGTGGAAGCTTACTTTAGCCCTTTTTAAGTGTCAGAAAATGTTGCAAGAAAAATTTTTCTTGCAACATTCCAGATAATTCCAGATAAAACATTTTCCAACAAGTAGCCAATTTAGTAATTAATAATAGTTCATAAATATTTTTTCATTAACTTTATAAAGATTTTCTTTCTTTTGAGCAATATGAAACAAGTGTACCCAATAATAGTTCTAATAATAATAATAGTAGTAATAATAATAGTAGTAATAGTAATAATAATAATAATAATAATAATAATAATAATAATAATAATAATAATAATAATAAATATGGAAGAGCTTCATAATAATTTTTCACAATGTCGTTCTGATTTCTCTATGCATAGGTTTTCTTAAAACAATACCTCTTGTTGTTAATAATACGGTTCAACACACCAACCCTCTAATACATGGCCTGAACATTGGTAAATCATTCATAACTTCTCTCTGCTTTTTGAATTGTGATTTTTAGAGCATATCAGCTAGACTCATGCTCGACCTCACCCCACCCCATGCTACCCTGTCTCACTCAGTCCAACAGGATTCCAGCCTGTGAGCCTTGTACTTGACCTTCTTGTGTAATAGGAAAAAGAAAATAACAACACAGAGGAAAGTTGCTTCAGCTTATTTCCTGACACTCAATGGTTGGTGGCTGCAATTTAAATGCATGGCTGCATATCAATGCATGCATTTATATAAAATTATTAATGAGATATTAAGGAATAAAATCTGCTTTTCATGAATTAACCAGCATATATCAGAACCACTAAGAATCCACTGAAAATTCATTTAAGTTTCTCTCTCTTCTCCATTTAGTCAATTGTCTAGATAACGAAACGCTCAGTAATGTCCAACACTAAAAGCCATTGTAATTTTTGAACATTAAGAGAAATTAAGTTTAGTAAAAATATTATTTTAATTTTATAAGTTGATATTAAATTTTGTATAAAAATTGTTAGTTGTGAATTTGAGTTATTTGCCTTTCATTTTCAGCATAAACAATGAATAATACTTATATGGTTTAACATAAAATAAATAAAAAAATACCTGTGTGAATTCGTATGTGCCGTACAAGATTAGACCTTTGCACAAATTCTTTGGGGCAATGAGGACATTTGTGCCGTGGACCATTGTGAATTAAGAGATGTTCATTGTAGCTATCCTTTCTCTGAAAATGCAGAAAATGCATATAAATGACTAAGTTGTTACATTTTGTAGACGAAAATAATATTTTAAACATTTTTAAAATAAGAAAATTATAAAAATCATAAAGATAATTGTAATTCATGGCAATTACTATGCAATACTTACTGTAAATTCTTTACCGCAGTATTCACACTTTGATATGCCTGATCCAGTGTGCAATTGACGATGACCATACATTCCTGACTTGGATGCAAACCCTTTGCCACATTCACTGCAATGGTATGGACTCTCCCCTTCATGATCAACTTGATAATGCAATTTCCTAAATTAAAACCAAGATGATTATACAATAATTCTTTCTTTTCCCATCACTCTTTTAATGCCAATTTTCCTGAAACACATACCTTTCATCCTTGGAATCAAATCTTTTTTGACATATTCGACATCGAAATCCAACTTTAGAATGCACACTATGCTTCATTCTGTAATGAATTGCATGAGCACGTTTGCTCCACAAAACTTTCCCACATAAATTACACTCCCGACGGCGAGCTTCTGAATGAACATTCTGAAAACAATTAGAAACAACGATTTTGGTTATTAAGTGCTTGTCCATTACCAGTCCAAAAAATATCGCCCAGAATGCAGATAAATATGCGATCTACATTCTGAGATCTAATGACTTCTCTGATCTAGTTAAGGTCAGTGGCCCATTTCTAGCTTGGAAATTTTTGAAATATTTCTTATCCACAAATTTTACTTACAGGTTTTACTAAGATAAGTGCTTTTTTGAGCATAACGTTCATTACATGTCATCCATTTCTCTCTATCTCTCCAAAACTAAATCTGAACAATGAAAAAATTTAATGTTTTCAACACTGATTAAATTATAATTTTTTCATTCAAAGTAAAATAAGTATTTTCTAAATTATGTTTGAACTATTGAAGAATATGAGAACCAAGGAAATGTTCTGAACATATGACATTAGATTAGGAAATCAGGAAGCTTTACTTGAAAACAAATCAACAGATAACAATTTTGCTCATACTTTTCAACAACTAACATTTCATAAAAAAGACTTCCCTGAAATACCACCAACTCTATTTTTATTGTATTTCCTAAAAGGACCAAGGACAAATGTTTCTCATTTCAATGTTCCTGTAAGGTAAGTGTCTGAAGTGGTACAGCCCAAGACATGCTCCAATACCTGCCACTGTTTCTCAGATGAAAGATTAAACCTCATCTCTTATGAAGACATAAGTTTGCATACCTTAATGTGGGAACGGAGAGTCTTCTTTGTTTTGAGGGTGGTGTTGCATCGGTAACAATGAAAAACTAGTGAAGCAGGATGTTTCTCTTGAAAATGCTGCCGAAGTAATGTTAAGCCAGGTAATACTGTAAGGCAAACCTTACACTTGAAAGCCATGGTATCAAAGGAGGCTTTATCAGAATGTTCAGATTCGACATGCCGTTGTAGGCATAGCTAAAAAATAGACAAGATTAGATTAATTAATAACCAATTTTGTATTAAAATAAGAATTAATAAAAATGATTGCCACTCACCTTACTGGAATATACTTTGGAGCACACATAGCATTTAAAAAAGTTGGCCATTTGATCAGCATGGTTTATTACTTGATGTTCATCTCTATCAGCTACTTTCCAAAAGATGATATCACAAAAGCGGCATTTGTATGCTACATCCTTAAGGGGCTTCTCCTGTACAAGAACACTACCATGCATTTTCGAGAGGTGTTGGCGCATGGCAGGCCTTGAAACTGTCTGCACAGGACAGAAATGGCAATGATAATTCTGAGATGTTAACTTCAATGGATCTTGTCCTCGGTCTGATGGTAGAGCAAAGCCATGCAAAGAACTCATGTGACGTGCCAACTCCCTCGACCCTTCCCCTGAAATAAACGACCCTTGGCAGATTTCACAAGTAGTTGTTTTCCCTGAAGTTCCAGAGAGAGCCAAAGTATCACTTGTATCTTCTTTTGATGTTCCAGAACTTTTTGGTTGAAGTTCTGAAGTTTCATCTTCGGGTTCTTGTTTAATAACCACCTCTTTTTCACCTCCTAGAGTTTTATTTAAACTTGTGTCACTATTTGTACCATCGCCAAATATTTCTTTCATCGTTTTTTCAACTAAGTCATCTCCCCCACTTTTTTTAGTTATTGCTTGTCTTTGTTCATCAGTACCTTCTGAATTTGAATAAGAGTTTTCTTCTTCTTCTTCTTTAATTTCTAATTTTGGTTGAATAGGGGGGTCTTCACCTTCCTCATCACTTGTGTCACTAAATACACATTCAACTTCATTGGGATCAAACTCCGCTTCACAGTTGTCACTTTCAAGACCCACCGGTGCTTGTTTTGATTTATTCTCAGCCGATACATAATCATCATCCTCCTCCTCTGATAAGTCATTTTCTACACCTTCCCCCTCTGATGCCAAATCTTCGTCTTCTGAACTCAGCAGATCACTCGATGAATCAAAATTTGTTTCGTCTGTGATAGGTATGCCCGCAGCAAGTCTATCTCCGTTTTTCTCTGCCAAATCTTTGGAATGTTTCTTGATCCCTCTCACAGTTCCCTCTGCATCCGCTCCTTTATTCTGCAAGGATTTAAGGACTGTCGCTCTCGGTTTAGCAGCCTGCTGCTCTTGGTCACTAGAATAACAAACTTTCTTTGGATTGACCACAGGTTTTCTAACTGTAGATTTGTTCTTTCTTCTACCAGACTCTCCATCTCCCAATAACATTTTACTCCAGTAACTTGAAGTATTTCCAGCCAAATTCAAGTCTCTAAAATCTTGTTCTATACTTCGTTTTCCTTTAACTGAACACAATTCTGTATCGAATATTAAATTTGTTTCAAGAAGATGCAAGGCCGATTGTAAACCTATACTGTGATATTCTATGTGTTTAAATAAAGAGTGGATATCATTCATGAATAAAGTAATATCAGTATTGCACAATACACAGGTAACAGAAAGATTAACATCACTGTATTTGCATTGGAATAAATCCACCCCTACACCATTCCCTAAGTCTTTGAGAGCACTACCATCTTCGGAGCACTTGTGTACTTTTTTCAGGTGCAGAGGGAACTGATTATGTACAGCTGGCACAAGGTTTGTGCAGTAATGGCACATGTGCAGATTATGATCTTGCAAATAGTGAGCAGATAATTCATATTCCTGAGAAAATGACACATCGGATGAGCATCCAACGCGACACACGAGATCACCATGGTCCTTAACAACATGTGAATTGCGGGCAGCCTTACTTGTAAATGTCCTGTCACAGTATCTACATAAAGTCAATCCTTTGCAGAAGAGATCATGGGCAGGTTTTGGCACTTGGACTGAGAACGGATTTGTACACACGGTGCAAGACGATGAAGGATTTGATGAACGGCAGCGTTGCTGTTGTGATTCGTCCCCGCTTACTGAGGTCCCTGAGTTACGAGAGGCATCATTATTGGAAGAATCATCCCCTGCCGGCGCAGTGGAAGAGAGGTCACTGCCTGCTGTGGTGAGGGCAGACGAATTTTGTACATTAGAAGATGAGGATGGTGCAGGCGTCCCCTGAACAGAGAACGCCACCCCCTCGGAAGCCAAAAGCTGGATCAAACAGGAAAGGGAGAGTCGGTGATATGAATAAAAGTGACCAAAAGTTTCCGTCCTTTTCCTTTCTTTACCACAGAGATGGCACGTGAAGGTCCATGCAGACGAACCGTTCGCACCAGAGTCCCAATGACGCATAATCCTTACTTTACTGTCATCTACCATTACATCAGGTGCCACAAAATGTTTTCTTCGAACATGTACAGCGTAGTAAGATTTCGGCCGTACCAGAACACCGCAAAATTGACAATTTCTAACATCATGACTTATGAGGTAGTGTTGAGATAACAGATCAGCTGATGGCAGACTTGTCTGACATATATCACATTCCAGAGGCAAATGTATTCCCGCTTCATGCTCATTTCTCATTTCAACAGATTCAAACAATTCCGCGCAGAAATGACAGTGGTGCATCCGATGATTCATTACAAGGTGCATCACTAGTTTCTCCCTGGAAAAGAACCACTCACGACACAGTTCACACACAAACGGCTGTTTACCTGGTCCCGAGTCTTCTTTCGTGTGCGCCACAATAGGCTGTTTCTCTGATGACCCCTTCACAGACACATGTGGTACTGCATTTGTATTTACAGATGCACTCATGATGGTACCGGTTCTAGGTTCGGTGGCCTGAACTGTTGGAATGTTCTCTGGCATGCTGTACGAGGGCCAAGCCTTTTGGTGAGCGGCAGCGAGTTCTGCACTAAGAGCTTGATTTGCTAGCATATGTGGAAGAAGAAGAGGGTTGAGCATAGACGGTGTGGTGGTAGGGAGATTTAAATTGGGATGTTGTGCCGGACGCGGCTGCTGTTGCTGTGGGTTCTGTTGTACCGATTGATTTTGTTGCTGTTGCATTAAAAGCGCCAGCTGGGGCAACTGGAACCCCATTGCCAGAAGTGGGTTCATGAGAAATGCGTTCATTCCACTTCCATCCCCCGGAACATGGCCAGCACTGGACGTAGACGCCAGCGATGGGTTTGGACTTTGCCGCCGTTTCAGTATCTCCTGCCTGTCATCTCCACTATTGGTCGGTCCGGTTTCTCGTCGGGGGGCCACGGTGTTTCTGGAAGCTTCCCCCATGCCACTGGTTGCACCATAATGTTCAAATTTCGGCATTCCTGAGCTACTTGAACGAGACAACATTTTGCTCTTCTTTGGATGGAACAGAGGAAAGCTAGTCCTCTCCAAACAACCATCTCTAGCTTCATCTTCACTCATTCTCAATAACAGTGACTTTGAAGCAGCATTTAGAAAACCCACAGACAGGATACAAAAAAGTCTTTATATTTTGTACATTACATACAATTTTTAGCAATTTACGCATTGGAGATAGTAAAAAAACAGTCCATTTTGTACATTGGATTTACTTTTCTTGAGAAAATGTTTTGTGAATCTTATCAGATCATAATATGTAAGTCACTTATCTCAGGTATAAGATTTGTCAATAAAAGTATCATGTGCACGTGTAAACAAAAGCTTACTTAATGAAGATTCAAAGGTATGACTTTATATGAACATATAAATTCAAAAGAAAAAACTAGCTTATATATGTTTATATCACTGAAGATAATGAACCTGATTTTTTTACAAGGGTGGTTCTCTTTGGTATTTTGTTAAATGTGAACATTAAAAACAAAGTATTTGTGTAGCACTGTTGTAAAAATTCTATTTCCTGTACTGTAAACAATAACTGAAATATTGGCTTGAACCAGCAACAATTATTATCTATGGACAAGTGATTCAACTGCAACTGTAAATATATAATATGAAAAGTTGTCTGTTATAATATATAATGAATATATATCTGCATTAAAAATTATTCCTGTTTCCCTGTTTCTATTTCAACATAAAAATCTATTGTTGTTCTGAGAAAAAATACATATAAGGCATGAACTTGTATTCAAAAAATTGTACTGGCTTGCTTAGTTTCTTGTATTTGTTAAAAGAGTAGCTTCTTATTTTCTGCGATTTTAGGTTCCCTGTCAGTAGTAGCAGACTAGGTACTCCTTTGACTATTAAAATAACAGAATTATTGGTATTTCCCTGAGAAGCAGTGGTATACAAGTAATTGAAGTTTAAAACAAATGTTCTCTTGTTTCTTGAGAATCTTCTGTTTCTTTCTCCCCGAGATTTTTTTCTTAATTGATTTTTATTAATTATTCATCATGTCCAGGGTTTTGTCATTATGTCTGAAGGTTGAAAACGAAAGTTGGCCCTCCCAAATAACATAAAAAAATGAAACTTTCTTCCCATTTCAGCTTTTCTTCATCTTGAGGGGGGGGGTTTCCAGGACTGAAAATAACAAATAAGAATATGTAAACAATTAATTCAAGAAATTCGATGTATATAAGCAGAACATAAATTTGAAATAAGGAAAGCTGTAAATTAGGAAATGTCGAAATGGGTAGATCAAGAGAAAAAAATTAATGCTCAAATGATGAAAATCTTACATTTTAGTCCCACAAGCAAAGTTTTTTAACACAATTAATGAATATAATATTACTTGCTTTTAGAGTAATTAATGGAAATGAAATTTCAATTCTTAATTTTTAACCAAATGGAATTTCTAAACAGTTCTCAAAATACAGTAACCCTATTAATATCATATGCCACAGCCTTTATGAATCAATGGAATACAGTATCACTGTAGAAATTCATTAGAGCAAATGTTACACAGATTAAAATTGCACGAAAAGTTTTTCAAGACAATAATAACATTTTCATTATAAGTAATTAAAGGTAAGCCAAAACCTACAAAAAATGAGAAAACATTAAAAATGACAAATGCAAAGTAATAAGTAGTACAAGTCAAATTAAATCCTCAATAGAGCATCACATTACACCCCTCAAATACTTCACTTATTGGATAAACTAATTCAGATTCACAAACAATGATATGAATAGTATCCATAATGGATTATGTCTACTTTACGAAGTCTGGGAGAGTATCTATCAGGGTCTCTTATTTCCAACAGAAGATCCCCTCCCCTATACATAAACAGTTCATCTCTCCATGCCACATCCAAATAACTCGTAGCAATTATTATGAATTAGAAATACATTTTTGTAGTTTTTTAATGAAAAAAATCTTCTAGAGCACCAATTAATTCAGGAACTGAGGTAAATCGCCTCCCCCTCTTCCTAGTGCCACTCTTCCCTGCGGTTTCATATCCGAAACTAAATTTAGGCATCAAATTGTTTCTAGTGAAATTCATTGGAATTAGTTTAAAGAATTATGCCATCTACATCCAACAAGTTACATAAATTATTAGATCACTTGATCAATGTTACTACTTTCCATTTACTCCCTGTATGCATGTGTGAGAAATGTTTGACAAATCATTTTGTGACTAAATTATCAGCCAGATAAAACCTATGCAACTACTTTCGAATTTCAAACAATTATTTTACTAATTTGAGGATTCTTTGGTAACCTAATATTATTTAGTAATGGCTTCAAACCCACAATACTTTAGTATCGTCATTCGTAATAACATAAACGACAAAAAAAAATTAAGTTTAGAAAGTTGAAAAATAGTGTTTACGACGAAAATCGATGAAAAAAATATTGTATGATTTTTGCATACGTCGCTCAAAACTATTCGTGTTTCTGCGTTCTTTCTTGTCAATTCAAAATTTCAAACCAAATACCCAACTGCAAGTCAAGTAAACATATCGCAATAGGCGAAAAAGACACGACGCATTCTGAATTATCAATTCCATGTAACATATCTAGGTTACAGTGTCGAAATGCAAAACTATCACGGAGCCTATCTTCAATAACAATGAAACATACGATTTGATCACAATTGGTCATACAGACATTAGGTTTACGAAGAAGTTTGTGCACGGTATTCCATGTTTGTCTCACAAATCGTGAGTACGGGTCTGGGTTCAAGACCAGGGCTTGGCAGCCATTATTATGCTCCGTACAACTCATAATTGTTGATAAGGAAAGGTGGGGTCAATCAAGGTAGTTGCAATAGAATAAAGCACACAATAATCATATATTAGTACATTATGCAATCACAGAATCACTTACCAACCAGCGAAACGTAAACATTAGTAATAACCTCCCTCAACCCTGCACTTTTGACCTTTGCCCCATACAACAAAAACACCAGCGCCCTCTCAGGTCCTGCGATTTACATGCCCTCTGGTGGTATATAAAGTACATCATTGATTGACAATTCTGTAGATTGCCACTGTAGGGAAATTGAAAAATTCGTAGAACGTTAATGATGTTCGTGCAGTTGTTTGAGCCGCACCTTTCAAAAAATTACTTAAACACGAATACTTTTTAAGACGTTAACTGAATGTCTACAAATTGTTTAGTAATCATACGAACATTGGGGTAGTAAAATATGTAATAGAAACTAGATTCACGGGTACAACCCGAATTATAAAATTTTGCTACATACAATGGATGTATAATTAAAAGGACAGTCGTCCTTGTTATAGTTCATTTATTAAATTTTTGGAAAAGCGATGGAAATTTTCATAAATGGTTTACACTGTATATTCGCGAACTTCGACATTGGTGCAAATGTTCTATTCGAGGAGTACAATCAACGCACATGATTACGTCTTCTCTGCACTATGTATAGGGAGATTTAATTTTTTGCTGATGATCACCTGATCACCTGGTGGCCGTGATGGTAGTGTGTATAGTACAGTTTATCTGAAAATATAATTTCCAATAGCAAAGAGCCCTGGAACATCGTGTCTCTTTAATTTTCAGGAGATAACAATTCTGATCAGCACATGTATGTCAATGTTTCAAAGGTTTTCACGCAACTGAAAGTTTGTCCTAGATCATGCTTGATTAGATATTTCATTATAAGTAATAAATGTGGATCTGCCTATTTTAAATAGATGACATTTTCAAGCCACGTTGTTTTACTAACCATTATCAATGGTTAAATACTGTTACACTTTTTTTTACTTGCATGAAATGGTGAAAGCATTTAAAAGGGAAATAGAAAGGAGTAGTGAATTCTTTTTCAGTAGCCAATCTGGGGTCGAAGTGAAAGCATGGGTGCAAAGAAGAAAGGTGCTGGTGACAAACGCAAAGCTTCACACAGTAATGATAACCAAAAATCCTCTGGGTCATCAGCTAATGCACAAAATCAACATGCTGTTACCCTGAGTGATAACGTAGAGCAGGACTTTCTCCAGTTTACTAAAGATCAGCTTAAAACGGAACTGAAGAAAAGAGGTTTAAAGACTTCTGGCAATAAGACCGAACTGGTAGGCCGTAGGAAATTACAAATTTCTTATTGTTTGATTATTTTGTTTGCTGTTCCCTGTAATAGCATTTGTAGTTGAATGCAACACTTTTTATTTTACCTTCTGTTTATCTAAATTTAATTTTTATTCCACTTAAACCTTTGATTAAAATCAAAATTAACCTTAACAGAATTTACTCTCATTGATATTGGTTTAATGAATGCATTTTGTGAAGTTAAAAGAGTGCTAAATACTTCAGTAAATTTTTGCACTTGCTTTCCCCACACTTCAGAATTAATTTATTAAAAGGATTAAATTAGAATATGTTATTGGGACAGCATTTGTTTCATTCTTTCCCACTGATTTTCTTGTTACACAGAAATGTTATGTTTTTTTTTGTTTTGTTTTTTTAATTTCATTGTTTGATTTTGCTCAGTTTTAAACTTGGAATGTATGAAAATTCATAGATATAATCCTTATCTTATATAAAATGGTTGTGGCCTCCACAGTTTTGTAGTTCAGGTTCACGCATATTATTTCTGGTTTAAAAGAGTTGTCTGAAGAGTATTTCTCTCTTTGAAAAGCTCGAAAATGGGAAATAACTTATGCTTATCTATAATTGGTGGTTTCTGTGCTTGCTTGTATCACACTTTTGCCCTTTGACTTGTGACTGCCCTGATTGACCTCTTGGTGACTGCATGATCGTAGATATGCATGAAGAAACACTTGAAGCAAGTATTTGTATTATTCTTATTCTCAATCTTGGAGATATGTTATATATATGTATGTCATGTCAAAAAAGGAATATGTAATAATAGATTTCGAAGACTGGAATGATTCTTTAGATGTATGTGTTTTGTGTAAAGTACTGAAGTCAAAAATAGTAGGTTTATTTAATGAAATGAAATAGTTTCTAAATGCATGAGACTGATTATTATGACCAAAAACATTGTGTATTGTAGAAAATAAATATTTCAATTTTTTTATTTTAGTGTATTTAGTGCAGCAGAGTTTATTGTAAATAGAAAACAAGTGTCAGATTATAAACTATTAAATATTTCGGTAACTCTGCATATATTTTGATTATTAGTTACAGAGATTAGGGAACACAATGGCAGCAACAACAGTTAAAAGGAAACCGGACAGTGGCCACTTCAATGGTGATACAAAATCCAACAAATTATCTCAACAAAGTATTATATCAAGGGAACAAGAGAAGCAAGAAAGGGAAAGACTTGTTTTATGGAGGCAACCAATATTAACTGTAAAATATTTTGCAAAGGAGCTCCTTCATAATTCTTATATCTATGGCTCAAAGTAAGTTAATTTTAATTTTAATTTTAATAGACTGTAATTCAGTGTTTAGCATATATAATATAGTTCATTATTTTCAAAGATAGTATTTGTCACTTGTTTGTCTACCTAAAAAGGTTCTTAAAGTGACAGCAACTACTTAAAGTGACAATTGTCTTTGTGAGAATATCTGAGGAAACTGAGTGCAATGTTTTCATACTTGAGGCAGCTCTTGGATAAGGCTCATAAGATTTCCTTCTCTTCCTATTTTGATTATTTGTGTTGCAACAATGATGTTTGCATGAATGTGATTCAAATCTGACAATTCTTATAGGTTATGAATGGTCATGTTTTGCATCTTTTTTAATATTTATGCTAATTTTCTTTAAGTAATATTTTTTTGCTGCAATTTATCTGATTTATACCATTTGGCTCATAGAAAGATATCTCACATTTTCGGAATTTTTGCAAACAACTCTCTGAACTGCAGCCCCTGAAAGTGCTATCTCATCTTTTCAGTAGACAAAAATTCTATTCATGAATTCGCTGGAAGAGAGTCAAGGTTGCCTGAAATATATCCCACCCCTACCTCCCTCAAAATACCCATTTATTATTTTTTAAATTATTATGTATAGAAGTATTCATGAGAAACATAAATTTAATAATGAAGTATGAAAAATAAATATAAAAAACAACACAAATACAATATAAACTGACAATAAAATACAAACTACATTTGCTAGTATTGACAACTCCATTATCACAATAAACACATACGCACACATGTTTGTATATACGAACGCAACATAAGTTCAAAATAAACTTATAGTAAAATGCAAACTTGTTTTGCAACTTTTCTACATGTTATGTATTAGTTACTTGTTGCCCAAGCATAATTTTAACAAAAATATGTGATATCAGTAATAATTACCAGGGCTCAGATTCTGATGAAATGTCATATTTTCATTGGTACATTTTAGACATAGCTAACTTGTAAATAAATGTTTATCATGGCATATAAGTTATAGGAATGTATTGGGTCATTTTTTACAATTTTTCAATGGTTAGGTCATTGTTCTGGACCTTTGCTTTGTTGGTAACTTCCTAAACCTTTTAAATTTGATGGTTGGAAGATTGGAGCTAACAATATACAAATTTTTGATAATGTAAAAAATAGGTTTTCCCCTTATTTTTAAGTTATTTTATAAGCCATTTTCTTAGAATTTTTGGGTCTTCAGCATCCAAGCCCTGATTATTATACGAATTTGAAATCTGAAATCGACTGGAGAGGGTTAATCTTTTGATGTACCACATGTATATTTCAATATGATTGTAAGAATGATGAAAATTAGTATTTTGTATCAACTAAATAAAAAAGAAAAAAATATTCACATATTTTCAAAAGACCCTTTCCTGAAGACTGTATGTTTATTTTCAAGTGCATTTTCAACCAGATATTCCCAGTACAGAGTGCACGTTTAAAGAGACATTTTTATGATTTCCAACCAAAGAAAACAAATGGTGTTAGTGTGAACGGTTCTGAAAAACCTGGAAAAGTTAGGCAATTTTTAATTTGTGGAAAAATATTATATAATTACTTTATAATTCAAGGTACAAAGGTCACGTTATGAAGGTATATAATTTGAAAGATATAGTACATATGTTAGTTAACTTTAGAATTTATAATAATAAAATAATAAAAGTTGAATTTTTTTTATTAATAACTCAAGTGTTGTATTTTGAATATTTTAATTTTAATAATTCATAATAATACTTTTAATTTGAATAATTTTTAAAATTCAGCAAGTTTATTGTTGTTTAGAATTGCAGTTAAAGATTTTTAGAGTTCTCAGAAAGTTTAAAAAATAGTTCTGAAAAGAAGGAAAATCAACAAGCAAAAGTACTCCAACGAACTTCTTTTTGCAAACGCACATTAGTTATGTAATTATTGTGGTAATGCACCTATTATATATATAGTTGTTTAAAAAGATGTGATATTTTTGATTCTATGTTTAATTTAACTTGTGATAGTTTGTCATGTTAAATAACACAAAGGATGTGATAGTAAAAATGTGCAATGCAAACTTCATCCTCTGAGATGTGTTTTAATATTTATTTAATTGGTAGTTATTACTAGTAAAAATAACATTACTTGATGCTGTTCGACTAAGGTGAAGACTTTTAAGCAATTTTACAATCAACACTATATAATATTCTAAGCTTTCAAATTCCGTGTAACACTCCATAGTGAAAGATGTAAAAAAGAGTCCATATGGTACGTCCAAGGAAAAAAAAATCGCTGAAGAAGGAAAACTCTGTCTTCACAAAAATGAGTACACATACTAATTTACTAGTCTTTTTAAACTAATTATTTTCAGGAACTATTTATTTATACTACTTACAATAATATTGATTTATTATAATAATTTTATATATGTGATTTTATACTGTGGAAGATTTTTATCCACTCAAATTAGTAAGTGACCTTGTAAGAAATATAAAATAAAAGCTTTAACATTTAAATGCACTTGATTGATACAACTAATGAAATGTTCTTTTCAACTAAAATTAAACTGGTCAGTGTACATTCTTTTCTTGGGAAACACAATGGAATGTTTTCAGAACGTCACAATGTAGAACTCTGGAGAATGCACAAATCTAATTTAAGTACTGCTCTAGTTGTTGCCAAAAAGTATTATTCCACAATTTCATGAATATGGGCTCCCCTTGCATATAAGGCCCCCACTGGATGAAAATTTTGGAAAAGTTTGGTATATACTTTACACATTATTCATTGCTGTTGTTGTTTAAAAACTATTAATATTTTTCAGGATGTCAGGAATAGAAATGTATACACTTTTGTAACATTATTCGAAAAATAAAACACAATTTTCGAAAATTTCTTTTGCTTAATTTTGAGCTATTCAGGTATTAACTCTGTTCCATTTTTTGTTGCCAATTTTGTAGGGTAAACGGAGACTTGTAATTAAGAAAGTACTGTATTTTGTTTCTTGCTATTTGTAGTGTACAGAATAAGAATTTTTTATTAAAAATTGTTTCCTTTCTAGGCTCCTTTTGTACAAAAAGGTAGTTGGAATTGCTGTTCTAGTCTTGAGTTTTATTGTTGTTCTCCTTAATGTTGCTGGACCACATCAACAAGTATGTATGCGTGATATTTTTTTTAATTTATATTTTAGAATCAACTTATAATTTGTGAGAGTTGAAATCTGGTGATATAGTAAAATTTTTGAGAGAAGGGAAATAAAGTAGTCTGTCAAATGCACTTTTACAATACATAAAATCAGCTTGAACATAACTGATTTTCTAAGGAAAATTTTAATATGCATTTCTTTATGAATACCTTACTTTGTGGTAAGATTGCTGAAATTCAATATCTGGTTCTTCAAAACAAGCATAATGAAAATATGAACTGGGGACTATTAGATCTACTCAGAACTAGGGATGCGACATTGATGTCAATGTTTCTATAAAAACATTGATATATTGAAGCCGTTATTTTCTAACTTCAATGTTTTGTGCAAAATAGTTTTACATTTTTGATGTTTTGTTCGTAGTTGAAAAATGCTTATAATCACAGTTTTATAAAAGTTAAAACATGAAATAACAAGTAATCGTTTATGTGATTGAACTAAACAAAACGGTTTGTACTACCTTCATCGAGCAGATTATCCCTCTCCGGAGATGACCTGATGCTCAGGTAATTCCTTCGTCGTTCCTCGTATTGCATTCTTGTAGAGGCATATTTTTAACTGTTTTCATTTAAATGTTAATTGCAAAATGAAATACACAGCGTTATGCCCAAATTTAAAGTTACAGGATACTAAAAGAGCTTTAAAACATTGATGGTTGTTGGTCAATGTGTTCTAATTTTGAACATTGTTGTTTCGTTGTCAATGTTGCATCTCTACTCAGAAATGACTTGCTGTCAAATTTTAATTTTCTTGTTAAGTTTCTCATCTCATCTTTCTTGGTGTATTTGATACATTCTGATTTTTCAGAATAAACATGTCATAATATTTAGTAAATAAATACACTGTTGCAATTATTCTGTAATTTGATGTCACTTGTCAGTTTTACCTGTTTATATTTATTTTATTGTATTTATAAAATAATGATCATAATGAAAGATATATCATATTTACTCAAATATAAAGTGTGACTGAATATAGAGTCTTTAGCTGAACTTGTAACCCATCTCTGAGAACACTTGTTCGTGTTTTGGCAATTTGGCTATTGCGTGTCTTAACAGCTTTGCCAAGCACATTGAGACCACGGAGGAGGAGGCAACTTTCAGCTCATTAGCTGCAGCAACTTTTCTGTTTCTATGTTATTCCCATTCAAGAGCTTAGGCGGGCAGGTGTGCAGCTTACATTCTGGAAGCTTTTTGCATTGTGCAGGGTGGGTGGGGTGAGGTGGGATGGGCTGAGGTACGAGCAGGGAAACAAAAAGGTCTCTTTAGGTGATTCTGTCCAGTAAGCTGAAGAAACAAAATGTGAAGATGTGGAGGGAAGTTATGACTGTTTATTGATTTATTAACACCAACATGACAATTTTTATTAAATGTAAGCCGTCTCAGGGAAAAATTAGATTGATATTGCATAGAACATTACCGCCAAGCTCTACATTATTTAATATGATAAAAATGTATTATTAATATTATTATGGAATCTGATTATTAAGCAAATAAGAAAGTCTTAATATATTAATAAAAAATAATTCCCTTAAAATGACAAAAAAACTGACCTCTGAGTAAATGCTCAGTATGACCACCATTTGCCTTTGTCAAGAGACAGGCGTTGAACAGGCACAGATCCATGGGGAGGGAAATGTGGAAAATCCCCCCCCCCCCTCTAAATTTTTTCAGTAACTATTAATTTTAACTTATCACGAAACTTTCAAGCAAAAATATTTTCTGGTAATCATTAAAACGAATAAAATCGTATCGAATGAGCTGAGTGTAGCACACATTTTCAAAATCTGTAATAGGACACATTCGACTAAAATATTTTGAATTTCCTATCCCAAAATGTGCCTCTGGTCCCGCCCCTGCGATTACTTTTTTCAGTCTAGTGGCTGCAGTATGTTGAAGACTACCAACTAAAATAAGCCCCACTCTCACTCTGCAATCTGGGAGGAGGGGGGGGGGGGCGCTTAATGTGGAAGTGACGCCCAAGGGATTTCGTGCTTTGCCAAATTGCCAAAACAAGAGGTAGTGTTTCCAGATATCGGTTGCGAGTTAAAATAAAGACCCTTACCCTTAATTTCGAAGAGCCTTCGAAGCGAAGATTTTTTAAATTTATTTTTAATGTATTTGTACTATTTAGTCAAAATTAAATCGCACATTGTCTTATTAACCAGTGGTATTTTTGTCTGATGTCACCATTTTCTTGTACTTCACAATCATCATTATCAGAGAGGTTTATATCACTATGTTCGTCATGGGGCCTTGGTTTGATCGTCCCCTGACATTTTAGATCTTCCCGAACGTTTCGCGCGTTTTTCATCTTTCATCTGGCGAGACCTGAGAATATTCATTCTGCCAGAGGAATCTCTTCTTGCGCGTGGTCGTTGCTGCTTTCATTACCGTTAACTTGAAAGTCGCATCGTTTCGCGTGATGGAGTGAACTACGATCATCTCCTTCCGCTCCGTAGGGAAAGGGGCTCCGCGAAAATAATTCCGTGTGTGTGGTAGGGTGTAGCAATGGGGAATGGCGTCCATGCACCCCACCCCCAAAGGCCTAGAGTTTTCGTTTGTTTCCTTTATTTTGCAAAATTGATTTATGTTCGAATTATTGTAATTGGTAAAAATATTGTATAATTTCATATATACACTACAAAAATAATATACAATATAATAACAAATATGTTAATTAAAATATATAATGGCTCCTCTCATCCCCCCTTCCCCCC